CGATTGTTGCACAATAGGACATCCATTGGACACTTTTTACCCTGGTCAACTAATGCCTCGACCACACGAACGAAAACGCTAGTTCAATTAATATGAAATAAAAAAATTCGTAATGACATAACAAACTTATAATGTTACTGAACAACGATAACGGAACTAAACTGATGAACAATAGGCATTAACATGCAACAAACCAGCCAAGTGCGAGTCGGACGCGCCTATGAAGAATTCCATATAGTGAAAAATTAAACAAGATCACTTTTCTTATTGTAATTTTAAAAAAACATCTTTCACGTTTAATTTACAGTAAAAATTATTTTTACAAACTTTCATAATATAATAGGATTCTAAGATGAATTAACTAGAGAAATTAATTGTTTATTGCTATCAGTATTATATTTGTTAACAACGCGACTTGCTCATATTTTGCCGATCATAATCATCACTACATAGTATAAAACAAAATCGCTTCCCGTCTTTCTGTCCCTAGGTATGCTTAGATCTTTAAAAATACGCAATGAATTTTGATGCGGTTTTTTTTTATTAGTGATTCAAGAGGAAGGTTTATATATAAAATACATGCATAATATAGTAGAGAAACACTGATAATTTTATGAGATTTTTAATGTGATGTGATGTAATGTGCACCCGTGCGAAGCCGGGACGGTCGGGACCGTCGCTTGTAGCGAATATAGGCCACTTATATCGTGATACTCTCTAATTAATTCACGCAAGATACGCCACGGGTCACAACCAGTATTATTATATAAGAGTACCAATGGCCATTTTTTATCCTATTATTATTTAATAACACAAACTACGCCAGGGTTATAACTAGTCTATATTAATATTATAAAGAAGAACGATTATTTGTTTATAATGCATAAACTCCAAAACTATTCAATCGATATAAATAAATCTTTCATCTATAGAAAACTCGATTATCTGCGGATATATATATATATATATATATATATATATATATATATATATATATATAATAGACGAAGAATAAACATCTATCACTCAAAAATGGTGACAAATTCACTTCTCTCTAATACCTCCAATATATACCTAGTATATATTAAATACTATTTTACTTTTCATTTAATATTAAAAATAAATTGAGAATCAGGATATTTTTTGTATATTCTATAAAATTTTGTCTGTGTTAGAAGATATGCTGAAATTCAAAATGTACATAACTCATTTTTAATGATACTATAAAACACTAAGAAAACCATTAGAATATCTAAACCAGTAGATTTGTGGAACCCTAGCGAATTAAGTTTATTGAATGGCGTTCGCGAAACATTTGGCAGTGCGACCGAGTTTCTTGTGCTATTGGGAAAGCGGTGAAAAAAAAAGTGAAAGTGCGTGAATGAGACAAGTATACACTATAGTACCTACGCAATCGACAAGGACACAAAGCATTAACCGATAAGGTTATATTTAAGTCTCGATAGGTATAAACGTTCTAAAATCATCAATTAAAAGTAACGCTGTTCTACACGCCTTAAAATTGCAAACAAACCAATCTGATAGGAAATGGTGACTATCACATTGACATAAACAATGAACTGTAAAATGAGGGGGGAGACAAGGATTGTTAGTATTGTTGTAATGAGGAAGTTCTTTTCTATTGCTAGCAATATATCCTGTCAACTTTCATGAGTTCCCCCTGGAAACCACCAGGAATCATAATATGCTAAGTAACCTGACCTGACTCTATTCTAATTGCACAGCCGGAATAACTTAAACCATTTAAAAAAATGCAATGATACCCACTCCGAATGTATTGTCATTCCTGTGAACTAAGATATTATACTTACATTTCTAGTAATTTTAAATACTAGATCTTGTCAAACTAAATTAGACACTATCATAAAAAAAACAATTACATAGAATTAAATAAATAAACAATTAGCATTGTTTAAGTGGAAATACACTGTCAACTTACATTATTATAAATATTATCATTGATAATGTTATCAGTTAGCATTATTAGGCACCCAATGTGAAAGACTGTCCTCATAATTATCTACTAAAGTAGACTACTTAGTATAACTACTTAGTATATGTGCTACATAATTAAGATTGTGTTCCACAAAAAAAAAAAATTACTTTAATTGTGGCAAAAGAAGTTATTTGAATTTAAAAACCAAACTTCTGAACCAATTTTGACCCTATTGGACCAATCTGTAAATATATTAAATAAAAAAGTCTTCAACTTGGTTAACAACTTATAAAGTTATGAGTATATGGTAAACATAAAAAAAATACAATTGAAATGAGAATTCCTTCTTTTTGAAGTCGGTTGAAAATTTTATTTCAATGGTTATCATTATACTTATAAAAATACATAAATACATACCATGTTGTGGAAGGCAGGGAATGGCTAAATCAATAGTGAAATGGAATAGTAACCACATCTTTATTATATGTATACATTGCAACCAGTGAGTTAAGAGTTAGATCTGAAGATCTAACTCTTACTGTTATGAATTCACCATAATGAGTACTGAACAAAGTTTAATCACATAGGGTATATTGCTAGCAATGGGGCTACCAATTCCTGTTATTATTTACAATTCTTTCCCGTCTAAAATGGGATCTCGGCACACTACACAAATAGAAAAGAATATTCACAACTAAAAAGTGTATACAATGCCACCTGCCAGTTGGTAATATGTTAATATCCCTCTCTTATTGAGAAAGATATACAATATGCCCAGCTGTGGGATATTAATGAGGTATTATATATATTAGATTTTATATACACATCACACCACAATCAATGGTGCATATGATTGAACAACTAAATATTTATCATGTATAAGTAAAAAATGCTATCAAGTCATGAATTGACAACATTAATTATAATTAGGTATATGGTATGTGTGTTGCTGTCTGTGTATGTGTGTACTGTATATTCATACTGCATAATATATTTGTATAGGGGGGAAAGGGATTGTTAGTAATAGAGACTGAGAATCCTATTGCTAGCAATATACCCAACCAGGTTGACCTCCTTGCGGTTCTCCCTGGAAACTATCATGGTTAATTCCTGATGAATTCATCATGATGGGCTAACTGGCCTGTTTTCATTCTCATTGATCACCCTTCACTGGTGCTCCGCCAGCGTATACCATTAGCACAGGCTACCATACTATTTTCATCCATCAAAAAAAAAATATATATTTGTATATTCATTATATGTGTTAGAATATTTAGAGAGCCTCATCACCTCTTGTGAGAATAAAATAGGTACACTCTCAATATCTGACTCATTTTTGGCCAATATAATTATTTTCCTATATTAACTTTTAGACTTTTGCACTGCATGTTTTATAGCTTATAAGAAACCAGAATAAACACAATCATTTCGGTAAACTAATAGTTCATGAAAATTATCGCAATGTCTCGACCAAATCACACCAGTTAATTACTTTTCATTGATTTATCTATTATTTACATCTATACCCTACAGTATTCCGCTAATTTCAACCTATCAATGTAGGATTTTAATTTTCTCTTGCACAATACAATTTATTCTCTCAGTCAACATCTCATAAATGATGCATAATGCATTATAATTCTTACTCCATAATCACATGCACAATCCTTCAATATCATTATCAAATTTTTTGTTATAAATCAGAATGAAGTTTCTTATAACTGAATAAACATAATTTAAAAATATCATTTAAATTGTTTAAAAAATAAAAACCCCACATGTATCAAATATCACATAACAATTAACAGCAAAAATGCCATGTGGTCCTAGCATAGAATGGGCTATTCCATCCATTACCGTGGATGTCATAAGAGACCTCTTAGAAGATCACCAAAGCCAAACTGTAGTTGCCAACCTATCTAGCAAGCTTAAGGACTACTGGCAAAACCCCTTAATAGGGGGAGGCCTATGTTCAGCAATAAACAGTTAACGGCTAATATGATGATGAAACAAATAACATGTCCATATGTTAATATTTTGTCGAATATTATACAGTCAAACATGGCAGAAGCCTTCTGCTTACACTTAGATTAATTTGATTTCTTAGTGGTGTTTCCGTTATTGAAGAATCTGTCAGAAGTTCAAATAAAATTTTTTAGTGTCAGCTAGATTAGAACCCACATCCTCTAGGATCTATACTCTAGTCTATATAGTATACTACTAAGCCATAAGTCATACCACACTCACATTGTTTTTAATGAAGTTCTAACCTGAACTATACCTAAATGCCTTTAGCATAAAAATAAGGACATTATTCAGATTGGTGAGTACCAGGTATACAAAAATTATTTACAAGATCTATTTCTATAGTGACTAATAATAAGACTAAGACACTGATATTAATTTTCCTCTATTATAAATGTATAATAATAAAAATAGAACATGGAATATATCTCATTTACCGCAAGTTACTCTATAGACTGATAACTTAACAACAAAAGGCAAACTTGTCTCTAATAAATTGACCATACAATTTTCTAATTTCAAATCTTAAACTCTGGATACACTCCTATTTTCAAAAAAATACATTTAAACATAAAATAATTCCATCGCGCAATGTAGCTTGATACATAATCTTAACAATTTATATTTATGAATTGTAAATAATACACGTAAATCTTCCACACATGTCATCAAACAAGCACTTTAGGTAATGACGTAAGGGCATACAATTAACGATTCACAAAGATTTCAATCTGTTGCTAGGCTATTAAATTAAATTAAACGCGTGTATAATGCAAATTCGCTATCAACCCAATAACTATAAATAAAGAAAAATAAATAGAAACAAGTCTGAATCATCCCAATATGGACCAACAAAGAACTACCAATTAAATAGAAGTAAATTCGTCCAGAAACAATATAGTATACATAAATACTAACAAAAAGATCAAGATATAACAATCAATTAGAGAGTCCTAACACAAATACTGCTGTAAATGCGCCACAAAGGAAATTGCGATAGAAAATTGTTTTGACATACCTTTGGTTTATAAAACCATTTTCTAAGAGACTCCATTGGACCACTTTTGTATAACAGCCTCATATGAACTGATTATAGCACAATCACACACATTATAAAACTGCAATAGCACCAAAAATCACTATTTAACTACGAACAGAACAATATTTTCGCCAATATTTACGTCAAATAACACAAACGGCAGACATGTTTCCATTCCACAAATCGCGTTTCACAATGAATGAATGATTGACACACTGACTGAGAGAATTTATTATTTGAGTGAATGATTCGAGAATGAACAAAAATGAAAGAATGATTACAAGAACGAATGATTAAGAAAAAATTCGGATACACATGCAAAATATTGTCAATAATAAGTAACATTTAAAAAAAAATTGTAACTATAGTCTATATTTAGAATTTTAGGAATAATAATTTTTATGAAGATTTTAAAACATAAATTGGTCAGTATAAAAAGTGATCTTCTAACACAAGTCACACTGTGTTGTCTTCGTTGTTGTAAAAAATCTGTATAGATGGCACTATTGATTAATGTTTTTGTCATTAAACTGGGTTCTTTGTTCTAGCGGTGCGCAAATCCGACTGATTTTGTTATTCAAATAATTATTAATTACTAATTTTATATTTTGACTAATAATTTAGTAATATACTAATTTTCGTATTCGAATGATTTTACTAATTAATAAGAACTATTTCTCATTTATGTACTATTAGTAGTATCATTATCTGTTTCATGTTCTCATCCACTACTACAACAATAAATATAGGTGATAATGACATGAGTGACGACAAAAAAAACCGTAATCAACTACATTTATTTTAAATATACATATTACAAACCAACAATAATCTACTTTCACTTGCAACATACATTATATAATAATTAATTACTACAAATTATACTTTTATATTACTTTCATTACTATTATTGAACATTTACATCTTTTACGTCATATAAAATGGTAACACTCTTACCCATTCACCAAAAAAGACATTCCGTGTCGACTCGACTATGTTCGTGACAACTCCAACATCAACGACTACTAATGAATAAAATTAGTAGAATAATATTAGTAGTAGGATGACATTAATAGTCAAAGAGTGTATAACCAAGAGACAAGAGATCGCACTTCATACAAGCCACATAAAACGATTTGATCAGGAATATCTTACCCATCTGCACAAAAGTCCTGCTTTTCTCGTTATATTGGCCAGCCTGATGTTTAAAATTGAAGCGAATAGGGTTATAATGATATTATAGTTATTTAATTTCCGATATTAATAAAATGTAAATATTTCTCACTGAAATATCAATCATGTGATAAAAGAAATATATAAATGTTGTCAAATTGCACGTTATCCTTTGTTTTATATTGCTAAAAAATTTACATCAAAAATTTTTTAGCAATATAAAACAAAGGATAACATTTTTAAATTTATTTATTATTACCTTGAGATTTCAATTTTGTTTTATTATTGATAGTAAACACAAGTTTTCAACATTTCCCGTAATGCATGGTCAATTTCTAAAGTGCACCTCGTAAAAGAGTCAATATTCATTATATATAGTCATAATTCCCACGTCAAAATAAAAATAAATATAAAATACAAAGCTAAAACTGTTCCACAAATAGTTTAGATGGCAGTCAATTGCTTCGCATTTGACAGTATTTTTGTTAAGTTGGTATTATTGTAATATCATCATTTACCTAAACGTTGGCATGGTATTTTCTGATCAAATCATATATTAAAAGCTTGTATAGAAATTATGCAAGACTGTTAGTAGTCGGATGAATAACATTAGTAGGCGAATGATTTGAAAATCATTCTAATAATCCTAATGATTTGCTCAGTCCAATAATTAGTAATCGGATTAGTAAAATCGCGCATTGCTACTTCGTTAATTAGCATACCTATATCGATACCGAAGACAGAATTACCATTCCGTAAAAAATATGAAACTTGAGAAATTGACAACATATTGTGTACCTATAGAGAAATACACATAACAAATTAACTTAAATTCTTAATTTGCTGGCTGTAGGCAACTTAGTGTTGGCGACTGGGGATAAAAACTCCTTTTATATTTCTAATCCTATTTTTATATTTTAGAAGCTGACCCGACAAACATTGTTTTCTCCCTATAATCACTTACGTGGTCCATTTTTTACACATAATTTTTCAGGATAAGAATTACATATTTCAAGTTATTAAGTTGGATTGGAAGACTATTAATAAAGGGAAGATTAGTCCTCAATAATAGATGAGATCGATCTCCAAGTCAGTCAGGTCGATCTCCACGCGGTTGCCCCTGGAAACCATCGTGGTTAAATCTTAGTGTATTTTTAACACTTTGAGCCAACTGATATAAATAAATATAATGCCAAATGATGAAATAAAGTTAACTTCTTATTCATAAAAACTAAAACCTACAAATACTTTAAGTATCACACTGTTTTGTCACATTCTTTCAAATTGAGAATTTGGTGTAAAAGAAAGAGAAAAAACTTTCAATAGGCAAAATAGATGTATGAGACGTTTTCATGAATAAGAAGGTTAGGCTTTATCCTCATCTATTTTCACTCACCTGTACTTCGCCAGCTTATACTAATAGCGAAGGCCAGGTCACCATTCTATTTTCATGCCATTAAAAAATCTGTCAAGCTGTAAAACGACAAAAAACACACATTTAAAAAAATATATTAAAATTAATTAATCAATTTCGGTGATTAGTGTGAATAAACATCCTAACACAGAATTTTTATATATTAAATTAAAACCCATAATTCATCTCTACAGTGTAAGTAATCACTACGTTTAAATATTTGTATTTTGTTATACCTTGTTATATTAGTTTTACCACAGTCTACTAGTTCACACAGTTCCCTATTTCCAGATGAACTTAAGCCGGCCCTGACTTAAATAAATTGCAACTTTTACGGTTCTGCAACAAGCGAAAATAGTGTCATGTATACACTACACTATAAGGGTACACAACACTTAATAGAAAGTGAAGTAATAAATAGTTCCTAGTATGACTTATGACGTAAGTATTATACTAGGTATATAGTACAAATGTTATATGAGAATAAATCAATAACAACTGTTGCATCCGGAAATTCAATGCTCAAAGGTGTTTCAACAGTATCATTTTCGTATTTAACAATATTATTTCCTTTTTTGTTTACACTTACTAGACTGTTTCGTACGTTTATATATAGTTTTTTTTTTTTCAATAGATCGAAATAAAATGGAAATGATTACACTGACAGGACATGAGTGTATTTCACATTAGTTAATATAGGTGGAGTTGATATCACGTGAAATTATGTCAGTTGGTTCAACGTGACGAATTGAGAATGATAAATAGATACTAGAAATTTCCCACGATAATTTCCAGTGGGGAGCACGAAGACGTCGACTTGGCAACTCGCTATGTTGTCGCTAATTTTCAATCGCTTATTCTTCCGATCGACGGGATATACTCCCGTGCTGGTACCATATTGAATATATATGCCTTGCATAGATCGGGTTGCAAAAGATTAATTATCAAATATCTAAAATCCCTCAATTATCAGCAAACTGAAGGTCTTTTGTCTCCATCAATTTAAGATCTCCTTAAATAAGTACCAATGGCTAATGTTATTTATATGCTGTAAGTGATACAATTAAATTATATATCTATCTCTACTCTATTTGGTTGAACACACACACACACACACACACGCCCACGCACACGCACACGCACACGCACACGCGCACACACACACACACACACACACGCGCGCGCGCACACATAGTCTGTATTTTGTTTTTTTTGTTAACTTTGCCTAAGTTATATACTAGAAATAAGTTTTAATGTTAAGTTTATTCTTGCACTCTATATCTTATTATTGTTATCTGTGTATTATAACACTAATTGGTTGCCTTGTATTTGTGTAGTCCATGGAGATGGGGCACTGGTGACTTGTAACACAGGTTCTTCTAAACCTACCGCAAGCACCAGTCTCTCACAAAACTGGTCTTCATTTCAAATTGTACCTCATGTTGTTACTTTATTCCACCTTTTGTGAAGAGAAAATAAACCGTTCATTCGTTCATTCATTCATTCATTCATTCATTCATTCATTCATTCATTCATTCATTCATATTTTGTGTCATCGATTTTTTTTTTATTATTTATTTATGGCAACAAACATTCATGCATTAATATAAAATGTTGTCAACTAAAACTCTTTATAGTGCCAAACTCTTTATAGTGCAAAACAGTATTTTAAATACAGTGTTATTATTAATGAAGCCTCATGGAGATACACAAATATTTTCACCCATATATATGTGTCATCACATCGACTGTTAAACTGTCCACTGCTGAATAGGCCTCCCCCATAAGAGATGTTTTGCCAGGAGTTGCTACGCTTGGCCGATGGATTAGCAAATGCTATTTGGCTTTTGATAATGTTTTATGAAGGACGCTGCTGCCCATCCTCAACCATTGATTTTCCTTAATCGTCTTTAATTACGACGCCACGAGAAAGAAAGGGGTGTATATATATATATATATATATATATATATATATATATATATATATGTAAACCTTAGATTATAATGTAAACAACAAATCTAAAACAATAAGATAAGATAAAAGAAAAATAAGTACCAAAGTTAATTTATTTTTCAAGACATAAGGGAGCTAATTTATGCAATACTTATTTAAAAAAAAACGTTCTGGTTTGTAGCGAAATACCTATTCACAGAGACACGATTCAGTGTTCCAAATTGAAATATATTTTTAATGTGCCCACAAAATATTTTGTCATTCATCGGTGAATTTACTCAATATTGAAGTCGCCTTTTTTTTTAAGAGTAAAATGTTCATGTTACAATAAATTGCTGTAACGCGCGCGTGACATCCTTGGTGTTACGGGCGTCTATAGGACGTTTTTATACTTTTCAGTGGAACTTCACGATATCGTACGATTTTACCGTCACGATACTATAGGGAAGCAAAATATATGTATTTGTATGAAGAACAGGCTGTATGCTTATTTGTCATCATAATTAGTGGTATAAAAAGTGTAGATTTTATTGGTCTATGGTATGTTAAACTTGGATGTGACCTTAGTTACAAAAAAAATAGTAGTAGTATATAAATACTTATTAGCAAAGACAGAAGCCACCCACGCTACAACAATTATATTCCTAACTTATTAATTAGAGC